TAATGTGAACTGACATAGCTGCTGTCGGCCATCGGCACTATGTCTCTGCTGCCCATATGAGGTACACTACCTGTGCCAGCGCCTCGTCGGAGAGCAGGGAGAAGGCCCTCGGAGATAGGCCGTCTACGCCGACCCCTGTGCGCCACGTGAACGTCGCAGCCGCGCGCCTCAGGTCGTGCACCTTGGGCACCTCCAGGGCCTGATGGGGCAAGCTCCTCATGAACTCGGCTACCCCGCTATCTTGGTCGATGAGATGGTCCACATCGAACTCCTGGTCCTCCTCGTCATCCTGGTAGCACAGGCTGCGTCCCTGCCATATGTGATTCCAGTAGTCCATCTGGCTGTCCGCCACTGCCTGAGGGAGCGAAGTCTTGATTCCGAACCTGTCGACCTCCTGGTGAGACCACCCCTTCATCTTGGTCATGGCGAACAGGGGTGCTGGCCCTGTGACCAGTGCATCCTTGGCCCACTTGCGGAAGGCCTGGGAGCGAGCTCGCGCCGCCCTCTCCTCAAGGATGCCAGCATGAGATTCCAGGAGGCCCGCGTATGCTTGCAACATCACCGCGTAGGCCACACCTCCATGAGAACATGCCTGGTGTATGATAATCCAGGCCCAGTCGAGCAGCGTGTGACCTTCCGTGGTGTGAACATCTTGTCGATGTCCAGGCCTGAGAACTCGGCCGACCCGCGCCCATCTTGTCTTGACTGGACGCGCATGATGATCCTGCATGAGAAGGTCCTCCACTGCCGTTGCGACTGCGCGCAGATGTCGTGGTTCCGACCCTGCAGCAGGATGTCCGCCGCTGGCAGGGCCTCCGACGGGTCGGCGAACATAGGCTGGGCCAGCTGCTCTCCCACAATGATGATGAGGCTCATCCACTTGATAGATGTGGCAGAGATCCTTCTCCACATCTTGCAGCATGCCCTTGTAGAGCCCGTCCAGCCTCTGTTGAGCCTCTTCCGCATCTGCAGGCAATCCCAGTTGAGCATCCTCCTGTACGCGAGCAAGATAGTCTCGCTCTGGCGGTGGCCCCTCCAAAGGGTGGCAGCCTGCATGCGCAGGGTGCGCCCGAGGAAAACGCTTCGGTCCTGTCAGGGTGATCTGCATGTGGCGCCTCGGCTGTGCGGCCAAATCGAAGCGCACTGGGTGATGGGGTCCGGCTGGCCACTTCTCCACCAAACGTGGCCTCTCGCATGCCTTCACCATATCCGCCGAGACCATCCAGTAGTCGATCATGCTGTAGTGGCCTGTCGCACTGCAACACGTTCCCTCACAACGTGCTGGCGTGACGATGGCGGCTGACAACATGTCCAGTAGACCCATGGACTCCAATTCGTGTGGTGGTGCATTCCAGCCACCCGCGACAATGAATGGCACAGCAAAATGGCGCAAGCACGCACCCAGCCTCATGAACCTGTTGTAGTTCGCGCTCACGTAATTGCTCAAACCGACGGACTCCATGCACACCGACCCGATGACCCGCCCTCCTGGGAACCCCGTCTGCACGTGCAGCGCCACGGCCCAAGCTGGCGATATGTTGAAGCCCTTCATGGTAGGACAACCTGATAACATAGTGGCGGAGATATGCTCTCGCACGAAGATCCCTACCCCAGCCGAGGGCTTCATTGATTGCAATCTCCTGCATGGTGATATGTACGGCTCCCATCCGTGTCTCAATGCCCACGTCTGGGCACGATCCACAGCTTCACCGTCGAGTCTAAGCTCCTGCGCACACACGACTTGAGCGTCCCCCACACCTTCAAGCAAAAACTGCTGTATAGTACTCCAGCAAGACCCATTGAAGGTGATCACGCCCATGCCATGCCTGCGCGCTCCCCGCGGAGCCCGTCTACGCATTCTGCCAAGCCTGCGGGGTGTCCATCTCCATGCGTCCGTCTGGCACAGCTGCGATGCCTGGAGCTCGGACTCGTGCAGCTGTGGCGGCGACAACTGGTGGTGCGTCCTGAGACGCTGCTGTAGTATCTGCGCCTGAGGTGCGAAAAGCGGCACCGACCGCGCCTCTCCCTCCAGTTGGTTCCCCACTGTCTCCTTGAACTGCTGGCAAGAGTGCGCCCAGCTGCTGAATGTTGGATACCAGCGAGTCCAGTAGCTGTGCTCCCACCTGCTCCCTCGATTGGCCGAGCTGCACCGACTGCTGGGCGCTGAGGATGGATGTCTGAAGGCTCTGCACCGCCGCTGCCACATTGGCGATGCCCTGCCCTCCATCCGTCGGCTGTGATGCTGGAGCCATGGCCAGCTTCGCCTTGGCCACGTCCGCCTGGACGATCGTGATGTCCCTGGCGACAATCTCGAGCTTGGCCTTGGCGTCACCCAGCTTGGTCTCCATCTCGGTGATCTGCTGGACGAGCTTGTCTTTCTCCGCCCCCTTGGACCCCAACCTGTCCATGGCACAGCGCAATGCTGCATGCTTCTTCAGGTGGCATGGCGTCACGCTCCTGTCGCTCTGCTTGTGCCAAGGCGGCGATTGCCAACTGCATGACCTCATTGGATCTCATTGGAGTCGTCGTAGTGGAGGCGCCGCAAGGACTGGACAGCCTTTCGGCACCGCGCCACCTCTGACCCTGCTGAGGAAGGTCCGCCAGCTGCATCAGGACCACGATCACGGCCAGGAAGATCGCGGGTCCCCCGCGAAGGCGGACGTGGACGGCTGGTGTCGCGCCGACCGTCTCTGGTGCGCCCACACTTCCAGCACGTACTTCTTGTGGCATAGTTGTTCTTGAACCCGCACTGCTTGGACGCCTTGCAAACCCATGACCCGCTGGCTTGCTGCGGCAGCTGCCTCCATGGCGGGGTCGCCGACGCCGCTGCGTCACGGCCAGCTGCAGCGCCCGCTCCAGAAGCACCCGAGGCCTGCATGGCCCAGTGCTCGCCGTGGTGCCGCCTCAAGAGCCTCCGCGCCGCGTCGAGCCTGAGCTCGCGGCGGGCGGTGGCTCCCGCCCGACGGGCTCGCCTGTGCCAGGCGGGTGAGCGACTCCTGGACCTCGCCCCAGGAATCGCGGCGGCAGTGCACCAGCGCCCGCTGCACGGGCCGCTGGCTGGGGCCAGTTGGCCGCGCCCAACCCCTCGCCCCAGCGGGGGGGGCACGGAGCCCAAATGGCAGCCTCGGAAACGACCACGACGCCAAAGAGGACGACGACGACAAACACGAGGAAAGACAGAAGACGACGTAGGCGACGACGACGACGACGGGGGGGGAGGGAGGACGGCGACGACGACGACGACGACGCAAGAGCGCGCGCGCTCGCTTTTGTTGAAAATCCGTGTTGCGAGACATTGTGTTTTTGTAGGTTTTTTGGACACACGATTTTGAAATCCTTCCGAAACCGATGGGTTTTGAAGAATTTCGGCATACGCGCGAGACGACGCGCGCGTCTGCACTTCGTCCGATGTGTTGCAAAGAGTTCTCGCGACGGGACACGCGCAAGGGCGTTCGACAGATTTCGACATGCGCGCGCGCGAAGCCCGTTTGGTAGCATTTTGTGAAAATCTTGAAAAACCTATGGTCTTCTAAAGATTTCGCAAGAGCTCGCGCGTAAGCTTCTTTAGCAAATCAGTGTTGCGAAACCCTGTGTTTTCGTATGTTTTTTGAAAAGTCGATTGCGGAATCCTTCCAGCACCGAGGGATTTTGAAGGATTTAGGCATGCGCGCGCGACGACGCGCGCGTGTGCACTTCGTCATTTTTTTTGCAAAGGGTTCATGAAAAAGTGCTATGTTAGAACAACAAATGTCACCGCATAATGTTTTTCACAACGGAACCTCAGGGGGGGAGAACCTGGCCCCCCCGGGATAGTGTAAATTCATAATTCGGATGGACATGTGGTCAGAATCGTATATGATTTACATTCCCGAAAAGGGCGATAGCGCCGCGGAGGAGGGGGGAGTTGAGAAAGGAGAACCTATGTGCCCAGACCCCCGACGTCATGATTTTTTCGTGACGCGACCCCCAGACGTCCAGACCCATTCCCCGGGACCGGTTTTTCATCCCGAGTCGTTTTTTGACGGTCCCGAGGCCCGGTAAGGGCCCTCAGAGGCCGAAAATAGCGAAAAACCTCCCGTCGTGAGTTTTTCATGACTCGAGGAGGTCTGGGTGGTGTGCGTCAGCTACGTCGTGCACCCTATGTGGTGCAACCGGTGCGATGCACGCCGTGTGGTGCGAGCTGCGCGGTGCGCTGGGTGGGAGCGCCCACGACACGCCCCCGGGCTGCCACGAAGTGATCACCGGGCGAAGCCCACCCGCCGCGCCGAGCCCCCACGAGGCGCCCGCCATCGGGGGAGGAGGAGGAGGAGGAGGAGGAGGAGGAGGAGGAGAAGGAGGAGGAGGAGGAGGAGGAGGAGGAGGAGGAGGAGGAGGAGGCGGGCCCGAGGCGAAACCCCGCCAGACCCGCCCAACGCTCTCGGCGCCCGAGAAGCGCCCTTGGCCGGCCAACGGCCCGAGCGAACCCCCACCACGTGGCACCCAGGCAGCGCACGGAGCGCACACCAGGCGCCCACTGGGCGGCCAACCGCCAGGCCCCTTGCGAAGCAGCGCCCTGCCCATTCAACTGCTCAGACGAGAAGGAAGGAACCCTAAAGTGCGAGCACTGTTCGGGGACATATGCGCACAGCCACGGCTGCATGGATGGATGGCAATGTTTGTCAAAGCGGGGTTCTCGGTTGAGACTTCTCCCGACAACACCACGCATGGACGGCGGCTCCCTTCCAAAAGGGGCTCTTGGATGGCGAACCCATGGGGCTATCGTTTCTCAAAAGGGTGCCTCCGAAATGGACAAGCACACATGCTTGCAAGGCCTTGCGCCTTATGATGAGGGCGGACTTTGAACGAGCGGGTGTTTTGAAACATCGCCGTTGCGCCCTGGGTTTGCTCTGGTGTTCTTCCACCTCCTTCTCCCCCTCTTCGTGTGGGAGGCGGATGAAATCTGCGAGTGGCACGCAGGAACGCAGCAAAAAGGGAAGACAAGTATTGAAAGCCCGCGGCACGTCAAGCAGGTGCTGATGGTCACCACGAGGTAGACGGCACACAGCGACGACCACAGCGTCTCGCCACTCCCGCCGAACGCGATTATCTCCAACCGTCTTCGACGGGGGCGTCGAAGGGGAGGAAGAGAGAAAGGAGAGGCGGAAACTTGGGAGAAGAGAGCCAGAGAGAGAGAGAGAGAGAGAAAAAAAAAAAGAGAAAGAAACAGAGAGAGAGAGAGAAAGAGAGAGAGAGAGAGAGTGAGAGAGAGAGAGAGAACGGGAAAGAGTCAGAGAGAGAGAGAGAGACAAACAAACAAAACATATACCTAATAACGTAGTTAGAGGGGGGATTTGGAATGGGCGAGGGAGATGGGGCACCACTGCGGGGAGAGAGAGTTCGAAAGGAGGGCAGGGAGGGAGGTGGGTGCGAGGGTGGTGGCGGGGGTAGAAGGGAGGGGAGGGAAGAAAAAAGAGGAGGACCAGTCAAATAAATGATTGCCGTGGATAGCCCAAGCCAGCACGCGCGCATCTGCACATGAGTGCGGCCAACACACGCAAGTAGGAAGAACCTCGCAACCAACGCGCTTATCTGCATACCCATCCAAAGAAACATCGCAACTGCGATTCGGCAAACGAGTCATTTGCCATGGGAACGCTGTCCCATGCAAAAGTGGGGTATGATAGTGGTGTAACGTCGGTCTCCTAAATTGCGTGGAACACACACACACACAACGACATGGCAGCTCTGTCCGTTAAGCTGTAATGTATGTCGCGTGCGCACGGGCAGGGGCGACGGCGACGCGGCGACGACCTGGCGCGCAAGCCCCTCTCCCCGCGCTGCTGCAGGCCCACGGTGCCCGCTCGAACACGCACGCTGCTGCAGTCCGAGAAGTTCAATATCGGCAGCAGCAGCGACGTGGCGGCGGCGGCACAGAGACGGCGGGTGCACAATTCTAAGAACTCTCCCCGCGCCGGGATAATTACGTAGGCCAAAATCAAAAGTTTCAGCTCACTTCGGAGCTCCTCGGGTTCGCGCCACCCCTAGGCACTTCGGCCCCCCCGGCGCCGACCCCAAAAACTATTTTTTCAGCGCGCAAGCTGGGGTAACAGCTATTACCGAAGGAACTCCTGAAGAGGGCCGAAGTAAACAACGCACTGAATCACATCACGTGTAGATGCACATGTTCGAGGTCAGAAACTTTGTCTTGAGCTTGTGCAGCAGGTATGGTCGACGCCAGTTGAACCAGCGCCGTCTCCTCCCCTGCGTTGACCAAAGTCTTCTCTCTCGGACATGGAAGTAACTGTTGTAATTATTAGAATACCAGTATTGCCACATTTGCTCACCCACATTGCACCCGTAGTGGTCACCATTCCAATGTGGCAATGCTGAGACGCGCCCCATAAGCCATCCTCTGCAGCGTTACAGTCTCTACGCATTGCGGCGTTGGTTCGCTGTTGTATCGCGGAAGCCTCTGATGTAGTGCCAGCCGGGGGAAGATATGCAGCCTGCAAGTCATCCGCCTCGTCATGCGTGATATCAGCCCATTTCCTGCGTGGTCTTGGAGCAGCAGGTAGCTCGAGTGGACTGCGACGCCTTGGCGCCGACGGCGGGGTGGGCAGCGCGTAGCGACGCGGCGACGGCCCAGGTGATTGCCGGCGAATTCCGCGCCCATCAGCTGCCAAAACTGGCGCGGCCGTCGGCAATGCAGCGCCATAGGTACTCGGTTGCAGGTCGCTGGCTGAATCGGCGGCCGAACCCGTCCCGGGCTCTGGAACCATGGCATCCCATGGCCCTGGGTCTGTATCTCCCCTGTGTGCGACATTGCTGGCTGAGCCAGCAATGTTCTCCCTGGCATTAGTTGGAGCCGAATTGGCGGCAACGGCTGCCGCGCTAGCAGCGGCCGCTGGCACAGCGTCGGCAGCACCTGGCGATGCTTGGGCTTGAAGATCGATGCCGTCACCGGCTGAGCCGGCAGCATCACCGACATCCATTGGATCCCCGACGTCAGTCGAAACAACAATGGGACTTCGGTTCTCCTTGTGTAATTGTAAAACGCCAAACGCAATCCTGGCAATATTTTCATCATTTATGGTAACCATTCGATCCCAAAGCTCAGCGCTATCGCCAGTTGTTTCTTCATCTCGAACTGACCGTCGAACTCAACGATGCATTCGTAGATCGATCGCGAAGCATTCCTCGCCTTGGACCTGAAGTTGGGACTCAACGCCTTGATGCATTGCTCTGCCATATCTGAGCTTTGGACCGCCTCTCTGACCTCCGCAACGACTGCAAAGGCACCTGTTTTTCCTCTGCTCGGGGCAGCTTTCAAACCCGAACGACGTCTCCAGATCAACTTGATTGTCTGGGAAAGCTACATAACGTTGTTCCACGATGTACTTTGCACAGCACTCCCTAACAATCCCAAGGATCCTAAAGGATCGCGTCTCTCGAGAATGTTCGGACATCCGCCGGCCCCTGGGTCTTCAGGCGTGTGAGATAGTTCCCCCCCCATAACCCCCACTGGGACCCCAAATCGGAGATTTGTACACCCCCCTGGCCGCGCCAGACCCCGGACTGAGCGCGTCACGGGCGGGCGGGCAGAGAGCCCTCAAACAAGCCAGGAGGGCACCCGGACACCCCCAAGACGGTCCAAGAGGCCTCCAAGACGCCCCAAGAGACTTCCAAGAGGCCTCCAACGAGCGCCCCAAGAAGCGAAAATCGTTGATGTTAATTGCTTGTTCGATGTTCTTCGCTTTCTCGCCTTTTCAGCTTCCCGACGCTCCAGGACCGCCCATCAGGCTCCCAAGACCGCTCCAAGAGGCGCAAGAGGCCCCCACGACGCCCCCAAAACGGCCCAAGAGGGCCGCCAGACGGCTCAAGAGCCGCCCAAGACGGCCCAAGAGGCGCCCGAGACGGGCTCAAGAGGGCCCCCTCTGAGAGGGACCACGAACCGAAACATCTGGCATTCCGCCCCAAGAAGCCTCCGGGAAGGCCGAAGAGGCCCCAAAGAAGCCCCCCCCCCAAGAAGCCCCCAAGACGGCCCAAGAGGCTCCCAAAACGCCTCCAAGAAAGGCTCCCAGGAGCCTTCCGAACTGCCTCAGGAAAACCCGCGACAAGCCTCCCCGCAAGATCCCCACGGACATCCCCGAACGCACTGGCTGATCGAGTCGCGCCCAGCCGCGGCGACGAGCAGGGCCCCCGAAGGCGAGGCTTTCTTCTCCGTCTCCTACATGCCGACCCGCGCGCCAGATCGTGACTGCTGCTCCTCCTCCTCCTCCTCCTCCTCCTCCTCCTCCTCCTCCTCCTCCTCCTCCTCCCCGTCCTCCTCCTCCTCCTCCTCCTCCTCCTCCTCCTCCTCCGTTCACCCCCTTCCGCCTTTCACCCATCCTTCCCCCCCTCCTCCTCCTCCTCCTCCTCCTCCTCCTCCTCCTCCTCCCTCCTCCTCCTCCTCCTCCTCCTCCGCTTTCTCCATCGCTGTTTCCCCTTTTCATCGGCTTCGTCTTCCGTGTCGCTCTCACCCCCCCCCTGTTTCTTAGTTCGACGGTATCATGTGCATGCCTTGCATTTCCGGGCGCCCTTTCTTCTCATCACGCGCGACGTTGCTACTGTCCTCAGAGAAGACCGACTTCGGCAATTTCTCCTGGCATTTGCCACTACATTGATAGGCTTGCCAACTGCGTGCCGTGAACCTGTCGGCAATGCAATCTGCGCATACAAGTTTGCTCTTCCTCGTGAAGTGTTTGCCCTTTTGGTCGTCGCAGATGTGCTGCTGCCGAGCGAACTCGTTCTTGCGCGATGCACACGTCAACAGTCGGTTCAGACGCTTCGTCTCATCGGCTACCCCCTTCGCGGTCTCACCGCGTTTTATACAATCCTCGCACGCCACTTTGTCTCCCCTCGTCCGATGATGCTTCACCTGGTCTCGACTCAAATGGCCTGTCTCCCGAAAACTCACCCGCATCCTGGCGCGCAGAGCTTCAACGGTTCCGCCTCTGCCTCCGCCTTGCGTTTCCTATTATTGGACTTGCGCGTCGACCTCTCACGCTCTTCCGCGCATTTCCGACACAGCCACCGCGTGGCCCCTGCATCCCCACCTTGTGGACATATGTTCTCGATGCCCCGCTCAAAACAATTCCTCGCCCGGCACGCCTGACGCCGCTAGCCTCCTGGAGCCTCTGGGCGTAGATTCTCAAGGGCCACCCGCCCTGCAGAAACTTCGCCTGCACCCTCCACCACGCCTTGCGCCGCCAGCCTCTTGGACCCTCTGGGCACGGGTTCTTAAGGGCCGCCCACCCTGCAAAAACCTCGCCAGCACACCCCCGCCACGCCCCCGCCACGCCTGACGCCGCCAGCCTCCTTGGGTTCTTAAGGGCCAGCGACCCTGCAAAAACCTCGCCGGCACCCCCCACCGCGCCCCCGCCACGCCTGGGCATGGTTCCTATAGGGGCCGCCCGCCCTGCAAAAACCTCGCCGGCCCCCCCCGCCGCGCCCCCGCCGCGCCTGACAACGCCCGCCTCATGGAGCCTCTGGGGTTCTTTGGGGCCACCCACCCTGCAGGAACCTCGCTGGCACCCCCCGCCGCGCCCCCGTCACGCCTGACACCCACCCTGCAAAAAACCTTGCTGGCACCCCGCCACCACGCCTGACCTCGCTGGCACCCCCCACCGAGCTCCCACCACGCGTGACACCGCCAGCCTCCTGGAGCCTCAGGGCATGGGTTATTAGAAGCCACCCGCCCTGCAAAAACCTCGCCGCGCCTGACACCGCCAGCCATCTGGAGCTGCTGGGCATGGGTTCTCAGGGGCCACCCACCCTGCAAAAACCTTGCCCACACACCCCACCACGCCCCCGCGACGCCTGACACCGCCAGGCTCCTGGAGCCTCTGGGCATGGCTTCTGAGAAGCCACCCACCCTGCAAAAACCTCGCCATCACAACCTCGCCGGCCCCCCTCCCGCGGCGCCTGACACCGCCAGCCACCTGGAACCCCTGGGCATGAGTTCAAAAAGGGCCACCCGCCCTGCGAAAAATCTCGCCAACAACCCCCGCCACGCCCCCACCACGCCTGACACCGCCAGCCTCCTGGAGCCTCTGGGCATGGGTTCTGAAGGGCCACC